AAACTCGACGTTTATTGAATATACATCAATGTTGTCTCATGTTTTTCTTCTACCGATACCACCACATTTGTAATCACACCCTTCACCATCGACTATGTCATACACACCAACGGCATAACATGGACTTTTTGCAGTTTCATCTACTCAACGGTGATATTGTTAACCGAACACATTTACGGTAGCTATTCATTATTAGTCATTCACAATGGCATTACTAGAGCATGTTTATGCCTGAATCTAACTCATCAATTTACAATGGCGACATTCAGAATGAAGATCATGGTGTCCGATAGTGATAAACGAGAATCACGACTATAAAAAATAACATCATTTTAAGAGTTAATAAAAACATATTATATTTTTTTTTCAAAATAATAAAAAATAGAATATGGACATATTGAAAAAATTCATTACCAAAGAACTCTAAATGAACCTAAAATTCTGCAAACATGATGCATTCTTTAGTGCTTGTGGTATCGTTGACTCAATTGTGATGTTTATTATTCTAATTTTATTTTTTTTAAAAACGAAATTATCGCAGTCCTAATTAAATTCAATATTTGTGATAGGCCACATAGGAAAGCTAATTTGTTTCTAAATTTAAGTCGATATAATTTTTAAAGGATAACAACAATTAATTTTATTAAATAAATAAACATTTATAATATTAAAAAAGTCAATAAAATTCAAAGTATGCTATTACATTAATTAATAAAAAATGGTCTGAGTTGCAAATGAAAAATAGGGGGAGAAAAGGGGAAAAGAAGAGGGTGGCATATGATTTACAATAAGTAGAGGAGGGTGGAATTTATTGGCTTAAATAAGAAGCAAAAAGATTGGATTTTAAAGTTTGGGGACCTAAAATAATTGACAACACTCGCTTTTGTTTTGATTTTACAGCATGCTCTCCAGCAAAACCTAAATAATGCTCCACGCCTCTCAACTCTTACCCATTCTTCGTATCATAAATAAATAACACACTTCAACACTTCAACTTATTAGTTTCGAATAATTATAAAATAATAGTTATTCGAAAGACTCTCAATAATCTAAACACCCTTTACAAACTTATTTATTTACAATGTGATAAAACATATTTTAAGAAGAAAAATTAATTAATATTAATTTAATATATATAAATATATTATTAGGGATAGGCATGAGAGCCGAATCCGACGAGTTTCGATCGGGTCGGATTTAAAAAAAATTAAGGTTCGGGTCGGGTTAGGTTTGGATTTAGGGTGAAAATTAATTGATCTGACCCAACCCGAGAAAAACATACAATTTTATCTTTATATTTAGGAATAATTACAATAATGTCCCTCTATGTATTGCTTTTTTCAATTAAATTCCTATTTTTATTGAATAAAAATAATATTTTAAATAAATATATTGTTTCGGGTACGGTCGGGTCAGGTTCAAATTTTATCTCAAAAAGTTAGGTTGAGTTCAGATCGGGTGTAGGGTGTATGTTTTTTGGGTCGGATTCGGATGGAGGATGTATAATTTTTGGGTCGGATTGGGTTGACCGAAAATCCGTTCTGACCCGACCCATGCCCATCCCTATATATTATATTTCTAAAGATATATTTTTTGATAAATAACAGTTACGATTATAGAATTATTCTTCCGCTAGCAATAATTATGTCTTTTAAACGAATTTTTCCATTAATCGAGATTGTCTTTAGAAACTCCTTATCCTTAGTTAATTGCAATCATTTGGCAATATTAATGATAAATTTAAGAGACTTACTAAGGTCAAATCTATTATAAGACTGTTATATTTATTTATCTACTCTGCATATCTATAATAACAATTATGGTCCTAAATTTAACTATTGTATGTAATAAGCATCAATATATAAATTTGTTGTAAGATTAAAGGGGATAGAATTTTCTAAACTATGTATCTTCTTTATTACTCTTCTTCTCAATTTAGTAAATATAAACTTTCCGGTCACGATTTTTTATCTAAATCAAAAGAGATAAATCGTTACAAATTTTCATAACCTAAATATTGTCATCAATATTATATATATATTAGTTTAGCCCAAGTTTATGATATGAGTTGAGCTGTTTTACCCAAGTTTGTAGGCATTACGTGAAAGTCATAAACTAGAAGTAACCCACTTGTATTTTGTCCTCTTCTTAGTTCTTAATTAGCAATGTTTTCAACACCAAAACAAGGGAAATTAATGGTATAATAAGAGTATTTTGAGAAACTCAAATAAAATCCACTTTCACTAGAAAAAAGGACTTGACAAACTCCACCCTTTTTCTTCTCCCTCCCCAACTGGAAATCGCTCTTTCCTTTCCCAGTTGACAAACATGGGAAATGGATATCATCAGCAGATTAATCATAAAGGAACGTTTCTGCCATTGTTGTTCTCCAAACCTTCCATTAAGATGTGGTTCGTCCCAAATGGCAAATCCAAAGGTCTGCTTCTTCCTCTGAAGATCCTTTGTCTCCAAAGATCAGTTGCATGGGACAAGTGAAGAGGAACAACAAGATTGTCGGGTTCCCATTTTCTCACACCAAGAACAGCTGCAACAGCAGTGCCAAGTATTTCAGGCTCAAGAAGCTGTTTTCTGGTAAGAATTTGACTGCAAGTCCGGCCATAAATACTGCTACCAGTTGCACAAGGAAAAAAGGGTTGATAGATGATGGTAAGAATTCTGGGTTAATCAACATTGAAACTATGGTTCCACCTTTGCCTGTCATAAAGAAAGGTGATAAGAGAGATGGATCCGACACTATTTGGCAGTGGAGATCACGTGGGGTTGCACTGCAGAGATTACAGCTTCAACTTGACAGACATCAAGAACCGACCACTGTATAAGGTGTTGATATGATTTTTTTCTTAACAAAAAAAAAGAGTAAACACACTATTCTATCCCGTTATTATGTTTTGGTCACTCATTTATTTTTTTAAAGTTATAACTAGTGTTATATTTTATTTTTGTTTTATCATTCATCACTAAAAAATATATAAAATTATTGACGTGATAATTTTTTTTCAATGACGTGATATTATTTTATGATGACATATTGGTATTACTATTAATTTTTTAATGGTGAATGATCAAAACGAAATAAAATTATAATTAAAAAATAATTAAATGATTAAAATGAAACCGTAAAAGTAAATGTATAACTTAATATATAGTTTACTAAATATATTTAGTCATGCATCTATTTCCATTATTATGCTTTGATCGCTTATTTATTTTTTAAAGTTATATCCAGTGTTACGTCTTGTTTATGTTTTGATCATCCACCACTAAAAAATATATAAAACTATTGACGTGATAATTTTTTAATGATACATGATATTATCTTAAAATGACGTGTCAGTATCACCATTAATTTTTTAATGATAGATGATAAAAACGAAATGAAAATATAATTTAAAAAAAATTGAGTGACTAAAATGAAACCGTAAAAGTAAATGTATGACTAGATATATAGTTTACCTTTTGATAATTGATTTTCTCCACTTATGTAAGAGACATCAAATTATGGTGATGGCAATGAAGATGTATATGGATTATTCATCAGATTTTAAGCGCTTTTATTCTTTGAAAAATAATTGATAGTCCCCACAAAGCCACCACTATCGCCGGCTGTTATGTGGGTGACAAAATGAACAGATAAGGGTGTCGGATCAAATCAAGGTTATATTATATTTTCAGGTCATTTATCACATTAAATCACTTGTGATGGACAGAAGGTGCAACCCTATATTTGATTCATACGTTACCACTGAATTTTAAAAGTTATATCAATCATTAATTCCAAATTTAATTAAAAAATCTTAGCCAATATATAAATAAATAGATAAATGATGCAAGTATTATTATAATATTAGAATAATTTACTAGGCATATAAATATTTTTCCAGGAGATAAGATATTCATAGTGAGATAATATAATTTTCATAGATTATTGAATTAAATAAAATATTATCAACCCAAAACAGTTTATTTATAATATTATATGTCACGATTAAGAAAATAATGACTAGTTTAGTAGAATTTATAATTGAGAGTAACATCTTTTGAATATCGATCTAGTCTTAATTTTATGAAGTATCCACAAAGGAATGAAAAAAGAGTGTGCAAAAAATTAAATTAAATAGAATACCAAATAGGTATACATGATAAATTGAAAAACACAAATTAAAAATGCATATACAGACTAACAAGTCTCTCATTATTCAACCATCCAACAATCGTCATAAGATGAATTCTCTAAAACTTTAGTCAACTGAACGCTATATAAGATGCGATGAATCACACCTACATGGTTATTGATCGTTAGTGTGGATGTTACCATCCAGTACATGGAAGAATCAACAAAATGGATGGACCACTATATGGACAGAAATACTGGAGTGATAAAGGGTGTAATTTACCCTGCAAAAAGAAACAACTTTTTTTTCCCTTGGCATCAGTTGTGAAAATAATAGATAAAAGTAATATTATTTAACATAATTAGTGACGTGTTGTCTAACCAACTAAGACAGCAGAAAAAGCCCCGAAGTTGGTGACCGATTCTCCTCCCATATGTTTATAACAACACTACCAAATAAAGGCCGAGAATAATGAGGTGCCAAAGTCTTCGATTCAGATGCGGGCGGAAACTGAATCATGTCTCAAACATTAGAGAGACAATCATTAGAAGAATCAAGATGTGATTCGTTGAATCGGAGTAAGGTCGACGATTGAATAAGGTGGACGAAGACAAAAGGAAATGGTGTTTTAATCGATAAACAAAACTATATATTGGTTCGATGAAATCCCCACCTAATTTCTAACAACTTTAGAAGAATGAGGAAACTCCGATCAGGGTAGAGGATAGGTACTGATCGCTAGGGTTTACACATAAGAATATTTTTATTGATTATAATTTAAATTTAATTTATGCATTTAAAAGAAATTAAAAGGAAGTTAAAGAAATGGACAATTTTGGACACTTTGACCCCAAAAAATTAAGTATCTAAAGAAGAAAAAACACAAGTACAATTTGAGCATTTAATTTTCAATCAAGTCAATTGTAACACGCGATGTAATAAATATAGAGGTTAGCTTCTCCCAACATGTCTCAGGTGAGAAGGGATGATGATCACGTCCTGATTATAATGGCTCGAGTCGACTCTTCTAAGTTTCTGAGTTTCTAATCTCATAATCTAAGACCTCTGTTTTATATATAAACACAATAAGCTACAAATCTCTAGACTAAGTAGACAAAGTGTAATTCAGACCTGTTGTTTATACAAGTAGGCAGGCATTAACTCTGTTCTTTATATGGTGTCCAGATTAATTTGCTAACATCAACCTCAAGACCACCATGCCCAGCAGCTTTCAGATGGCGATCCAACACCTTGGGATCTGCACATATTACATGCTGACCTTTCCTGTACTGAATCAGTTCTAAACTCTGCAGTGTGGTCAATATATCCTCTGCCTTTATAGCTGTCATGTCACTCAGCTCCTGCACGAAACAAACACCACAATGCAATGAATTTTCCTCGCACTTTGATTAAACTGAACCACCCTCCTAAACAAACACATAAATTCTCATAATGATGAATAAAACAGGAGCTGCATACAGCACTGACCACTAGATTTTTAATACAGCATCAGGTATTGATACCTTGATGGAAATATTTCCTTTATGCTTTTTCAAGATGTCTAAAAGAACCCTTGTCCAGTACCCCCTGTAGCTCAACAGCCCTAAGTCGGAAAGTGGTCTTTCAGGTGTGCCAACTTTACCTTCTTTCTTCGAAAGTTCATACGCTGATCCATAACAGAGACAAAATCAGCAATGATACATATAGAATGGAAGGCAAAAATACAATGCAACAATATTAAATATAACACAGCATTTGTATTCAAGATTATGCAACTAGTACATAGCAATGATACATTCTCATTGAATGCTGTTAGAGTGGAGTTGCAGAAAAGAAGTGTTACCATGGAAGATTTATTATGTCCGCTATGCAAAAAGGAGGAAGAAACAATTCAACATCTTTTCATTCTATGTCCTGTTGCCTGGGAGTTATGGAATAGGTTCATCATGTTATGGGATGTGTCTACTGTTCTGCCCAAAGATCCTATGTCTTTACTCTGTTCCTGGTCTGTTTTAATGGTTTCTTCTTCTATTTGGAAATTTATCCCGGGTGTTGTTCTGTAGTCTCTATGGAAGGCTAGGAATTTAGTGGTTTTCGAAAACTGGAGTTTTGAGAGCTCTACACTGTTCTTCATATGCAGATTCAGGCTGGCAAAATGGCTTTTAGCCAAATTTCCTAAGGCTAATATCCAGGTTGATTTATTAGTAGGTGATCCTCGGCTTGCAGACAGACTAGCAGTTATTTCTCACAAGAGGAAGATCGATCAGTGCTGGTTTCCACCTCCTCCTGATTTTTATAAATTCAATGTGGATGGGGCGGTTAGAGGCGATGGCTTACAGGGCGGTATTGGAGGTGTACTGAAAGATTCGAATGGCTCTATCTTGATTTCTTTTTCTAAGGCTGTGGACCAGGCCCTCCTTTGCTTGCTGAGTTGAAAGCTATTAAGGAAGGCATGGATTTGTTTCTTAATTCGGGTTGGGTGTTGAAGGGTAGACTTATTCTAGAGAGTGATTGTAAAACAGCAGTGGATTGGATTTTGAGGCCTTCTGATGCCCCATCGTTTTGTTGTTCTTTGGTTGGGGAAATAGGGGATTTAATTTCGGCTAAGGACATTTTGGTTAGGCTGATCCCTAGGGCTTGTAATTGGGAGGCTGATAAGTTAGCTAAGGAGGGGATTGGTTGAACGTTCTTTTAGTGTTTTTATGGTTATGTTTAGTCTCTTATTTCGGGTGCTGTTGTATTTAAAGTCTTATGTAATTTTGGGTTATTAATATATTGAGGTACTCTTTTCCTCCTTTCGCTAATTGCCTCTTCTTAAGAGGCAATTATGAGGGAGGTTTTTAATGAGACCTCCTATTCCTATAAAAAAAACATCATCATCTCTCTCTCAAATGTATAAATATCCTATTCTGATCCATTAATAAAATAAGCCCCCAAAAAAATTAAAAAAAAGGGCGGGGCAGAGAGCTTACAGAAGGCAATCAAAAACTTTCCATAGCCTTTCCTTTGATATGGAGGAAGGGTAAGGATGCATGCTAAATTATATGATTCCTCAGAATGCTTTTCCTGCATGATCAGTCACAAACTGCTAACTAAGATGTTTGTTTGTGTTGGGAAGCACAGTCTAAAACAAAGGGAAAGTAAGGATGAAAAGACAAAAAATAATGATAGGCAACTACAGAGAGTTTTACCAGATATGCTATGGAATGAATAAGGAACTGAAAGTCCCAAAATACACGCAAATAAAAAATAAATTCTACTACTTGAAAGCTTCTAATTCGAGGCTACAAAGGCAAGGATTTTTTAATCCTCTCCATGCCAAAATAAATTGCAATTACGAAATATAAGAATGGTCACAAACATATAGACATTTGTTACAAACCCACAGTACATCAAACCACAACAAAAATGCACTCAAAAATTACCTTGGAAAAGTATCCAACCATATGGCAACCTCGATCATCACATTCACACAATACATAAAACAGAAACAAGTCAACATCATAATAAAGGGTCTTGTGGTCGAGGAATAACTTTGCCAAATAACAAAGATTCTGCCCATAAACTTTGTTCTTTTTGCCATCAACCTGTTCCAAAATATTTGAGAAAAAGAACATGAATATTAACAACAATTAAAGATCTGCAACATCCTAAAACATGTATTTATGTAACAGGAATATACAGCATGAGAGCAAAAATAAAAGAAAAAAGAAGTGGCGACAAGTATTCCTACACGTGTAAGTCATAAGGGAGAAAAAAACACTACTGAAGGCAGAAACAACTTCTCAAAATTAAGCATTCATTGAGATAAATTATTGATTTAATGATTATTTGATTCATAATACAATTGAATTGAAAATTTGAATTTCAAAAGCTGCACTTAAAAACAATGGGTAGAATTGAAGAAAACAAGAATCATATAGATTTACTTAATTTGCACCAAGAAAACCCGTTTCCTTTTTCTTTTTGAGTTAGCACAGAAAGTAGCATCAGTAAAGACTCTTCGACAGCATACCTCAAACATTGAAAGCGTACCACTTCTATATATTTCATCACCAGGGGGATGCTTGAGATCACACTTTCTCTGCACATATAAAACCAAAGTTAATATATTTCAGCCCTGTTGTGTCATAAGGCAGTTGCACATTGACAACCACTTTTTTTTCCGATGGAGCAAGCCAACATCTATTACACATTCCATCTATCCTTGACATGATAAAGAGTGTAAATGACTCATAATATAAACACATAAAACTTTCTATATACACAATTACCCAGCAGAGATGTGCAATTGAAGACATTACTTCAAGATATCAAGAGAAAAAGATTATTGGCGTCATATCTTGATCATTAAACACAATATAGAGGAACTAGTACATAGAAAACAAAAGGCTTTCTATATAAGCAATCGCAATACACAGTGCTAAGTTGAGTTATACTAAGTGCACTGCATATAAAGCTAGAAAGGGACTGATACATGGAAGACAATTAAAATTCTTAAAGAATTTCAACACAAAGTATTGTAGGAAAAATGTTTGCCATACTAAGGGAACTCTCACCATATGCCTTTGAAGTTGCTCTTTGCGCTTCATGAAGTTGAGGCAGAACTCACAGAAGTACAACTTCAACGAATCATTGTACTCTGGGGGAAAGGGGGAGAAGTACCACGTCTCAATTTCATATCTTCCAAGTTCTATGGTTGCTACATTTTTAACCTTTGTGAATTCCTCATGCTCACGCAAGCTAGCAGCATCTAACTCCTCATGGCCCTATTAGAAAACAAGAGCAGACTATTACTGGTTTACAGAATTTCACAAAAGCAACCACAATTAGAACAATTTAAATGGACTTCCTATCACCAATCGAAAGTTTTACATTGACTTACTACTTCTACATGTGTCTCGTCAATCTTGCGTTTCTGGTGGCGCGTCATTTTTAAGCTTGTGACCTGAAAACCTCATTGGCAAGTTTCTTCAATTGAATACACCCTCAAAGATAAAGTGCGAGGAAAATGAAATGCGATGATTTGAATTGGAAGCAGATGTTTACCTTATCTTCAACCTTTTCAATAACAACAGTTTCGACAGAATCGAGATCAAGCTGATCAAGCTTCACCCATTCATCAAGCCTCCTGTTAACTATAATAATACCAATATTGTTATGTTGTTATGACCAAATATATATATATATATAATTTCAACATTTCTAACACAACAATTCTAAAACTTCAATTGAAATTGAAAAAAACCCTAAGAAAATGGAATTTGATTAAAAACCCTAAATCTTGGGATATTAGAGATCTTACACTCAGTGTAATGAACGTAGTATTCGTAATCATTAGGCTCAGCGTAGTGCATCTTACGGCGTTCGATGACCTTGACGGGATGATATTTTCCGTCTCTCCAACGGCACATCACGCGAGTACCCACCTCCAGCGGGAGCACGCTCGACCTCCTCTTCTTCGTTGTCTCAGGCTCCGGAGACACCTCCGGTCGTGCTGCGTTTGAAGAGGGAGAAGGTTTGTGGTCGCCGTCGGCAGGTGCGGCGGCATGAGATTGAGTAGTACCGTTCTCTGTAATTGACGGCGAGTCAATGGAACCCATCGGATGGTGACGGTTTCAGAATTCCAGTGGGCTGGATAGAGATAACAATGCGAAAAGATGAAAGATGATTAATTATGTTTTGGGCTATGGCCTATGCGCTTCATTTATTATAAATGCATCCAAGGCTGTAATTAATCCCCGGCAAATCATCACCCTTTTTATTTTTATTTTAATCGTCAATTTTTTTATAAAAAAAATCAATGTTATAATTCAATTTAACATTACTCTTATTTTGTTTATTTCTTCATTAATTATAACACGATAAAAAAGTTCAAAAAAATACTATTTTAAAAAAAGTAAAATTTAAATCAATAATAAGTTGATTTAGTAGGATGAGATATTAGATTTTATAAACAATGTCAAATATTCGAATTTTGACGTTTACAAATGACATAAACTAAGTTAAAATAATCGCCCTCGTCTCTGCAGTATATTTCAACCTCTTTGACGACATGATAGATGCTTTCAATGCTGCAAGTGGAGCAGAATTTCGTATTCTTCAACCCAACATGCACAACCTGTTTGTCCGTATTGGTGATTTCAATATCTTTATCCTCTTCTGGAGACATATTCATGTAGTTTCAAGTGGAAATTAAGTCTGAATAAGATACTAGATTGTACCTTTTTTGTATTGCAACAGTTGAAAATGTTGTTTATGAAACTGGAATTACTTTTTCCACCAAATCCAATATATTTTCTCAAGTCTAAATAAGATACTAGATTGTACCTTTTTCCACCAATTCTTTACCTTTATCCATATAAATCATGTGTCAGGTTTAAATAAGGTTCTTAATTAAGAGAACGGACCAAACATTCGATACATACTTATTTCCTTATATGTTTTTAAATACACAATTATATTGAATCATCTTAAAAGGAGATCTCGAATTCTAGCAGAGTATGTATGATTAAACAAGATTTTGAACAGACGTTTCAAGCTGCCTTGAAACCATATGGCATTTATGTGTTTGGTATTTAAATTCAAGTTGATGGTTCTGATTTGCTAAATAATAGATATCATAGAATACCAAGTTCGATCTTTGGAGTGTATTGGGTGCAAGTAACCCGATTGAAGACCAAATGAAATGGTGGTGAGCAGCATAAGGTACTGACTAGACAGATGACAATTAAAAAGTAGAGAAATGGGTTTCTTGTGGAATCGTTGATGGTTGTGGGACAAATTACAAATATTTCTACTTTCCACAGTTGAAATAATCGGAACATATTAGATTATTATTGCTTTTGCATTATTATTTTTAGAAAAAATATAAGGTTATCAACAACTTGCAATAGTATAGAGAATGACGCCAATCTGTATCAGTTTACAGATAAAGAGCCCACAAGATAGAACCAAAGCACTGAATGACTGCTTTGCACATTTCATTAACATGTAAACTGAATAATAATGATAAATAAATAAATGGAACTTTTTGATTTCCTTCTTTCATTCGGTAAAATTGACCAAAATCACCAATAAGTTATTTCTTGTAAAAGTGAAAAGAAAGAAATATCTCCTAAAGATGCACAAATTTCTAGCATCTCCCGACAGCAATCAAAATAGTCCCCCCCATTAAGCCTAAAAGATTCTCTGTTATAGACGGGTAAGAGGACTTAATTATTGCACTATTTGCAAAATGGACCATCAAACCAAATCACCACCACCACCCCAACTCATCAGCTTTCTTTCAATCAAAAAAGAAGGGGAAAAACTAATCATCAGCCATAAAATAAATTTAAAAAAAACACTTTGGATTTACTATGTAAGGACAAAGAAAGTCAAGCTTTGGATCCGGAATCAGAGGAGCTCAGTTCAGCAGCAGCTCCATCCAAATTAGTTGCAAAAGATTGAGCCAGCTTTGGCTGCATGCCACGGCACAGTTTCAGTGACGGCCTCAATTTCATGCACTACAAAACAAAATGAATACACAATAAGCAAATAGGGCATAAACATTTCGCATCTTTTGTAAAACAATAAACTGCTCCAAGACAATGAGAGATATTGAGTAGACAAGTACACCAAACCTTTATAATTTTCCCACACTATAATATAATGATAACATATTTTTATCGTGTTCACCATCCAACAGATGATCATGATCAGCTCATCCTCCATATAATTTTCGGTATACATCAAAGTCCATTAGAAACACTAATATACTAAGGCATAAGTCATAGTAATTTGAGTAAATGTGTTCCATCAGTAACGGTAAAGTACAAACAGAATGAGAAAGAAAGATGTATCTTACTTCCTGATAAAAAGCATTGATCTCCTCTTCTGTAAGGCCTTCATCTTCGCCAGCGTTTTCATCCCAACCAAGAGAACGGAGAAATGCAGCCTCTTCCTCATCTGGATGAGTCATAGATGAGGTGTCCATATTCTTTTCACCATCATAAGCAAAACTTTGAGACTCCTGACAGGCATCACCATTGTTGGTTGCAGCCGTACCATTTTCATTAGCACAAGCAGTAGAAGAGGCACTAACTACTTCTTTTGTAACTTCAGATTTCTCTGAGGTAGAAGATGAAATATGAGCGTGTGAATCTGAGTGACCTGCACAAGTCTTTGCTGAGGTCTTCTTCTTCAGCAGATTAAAAAAGTCATTTCGGCTCTGGGTTCGAGCCAAAGAGGGTCTCTTTTCCACACTGAACTCAGCTACTGGATTCAAGGCAACTACCTTACGTTCGCCAGCAGAAAGCTTAGGGCTGTTTGATTTTCTTGTGGGACCAACAGCTTGTGGGCTAATTGTAACTTTGCTGTTCACACTTGTTGGACTAACATCTTTTTGAGTAGGGGATGAGACACCGTTCTCCCATCCCGGTTTAAGAACCAAAAGTTTCCCAGATGTTTTCGGCATATCAGACTTGACATGTCCACTATGAGGAGATTGATTACCATGATGAATCAAAGATGGTTGCTGCTGCCCACCCTTCATAACTATATTTATCTCACTTGTTCTGGCGGCTGGTTTGCCTTTTGATTTATCCACTGAATTGAGAACCTGGGACAAAAAGTTAGGTAGTTATTACCTAGAATTTTGAAAATACTAAATACATAATTATTTTATCCGTGCAGTAGACAGGTAAAAAACAGAACAGAGCTACGTCCAGAACACTTCATGAGATGACAAGAAGCTTCCTAACTTCAGTTAATCTTGGCATTTGAAGAGCTCTTGAAAATGAACAAGAACAATTATAATTCCATCTGAAGTCTATACGAGGAAACTCACATGAAGAGAAGTCCACCTGAACTTGAAACCCAGAAAGTAAATAAACAAATCCAGAGTAGAAAAAGAAAAAAGAAATAAGCATGCTGTTTTTAATTTCAATTCTGACATTAAATAGTGAGTGGACTGCTTGAAAAGTTTTAGGTTCATCAATTGAGTGCATTTATTTGAAGATACTGATTAAACAAAATGCATGGGACCTAAAGAGATCCTTTTCAAAACTCATTCTTGACTCTCAAATATGATTGGAAAAGATGATCAACAATCTCGGCATATTATACAGTGTACACAGTAATGTAATTCCATATCTACACTATATTAAAATTGCTGTATTAATTTGAAGATACTGATTAAACAAAATGCAGGAGACCTAATGAGTTCCTTTCCAAATCTCATTCTTGACTCTAAATTATGATTGGGAAAGATGATCAACGATCTCAGCATAGAATAGACACAAAATATGTAATTCCATATCTACACTAAATTAAAATTAGCAGCATCAAATATCAGCAATACATTGTGACTTTCAAGTTTATGAGAAGTTATAAATGCAGAAGAATATTATTATCACCAACTGTAGCTTTAAGAAATTCAAATTACTATGAAACTTACTAACTCAACTAATAATTGTATCAGATAATACAAGAAATTAAACTGGATAGTAGACCTGATAAAAGAGTAAGTTGAAAATTTTCTTACTGAACCCTTGGTGATTGAAGGTGTCAATGGTATTAGTTGCTTTGATTGCTTAATAGCCAGTTCCTCACGCCTCTGAGTCTTGACAGATAACTGTATGAAACAAAAATTTCTAATTAGATAAGGGATTGATGTATTAAGAACTTAGTCACTGATCAGTTACCTGCGGAGAAGTATGGGACCGTGAAGGGGCTTGTGCCAGTGTTTCAGCCATATTAAGACACGATGAGTCAGTTGGAGTCACAGAACATGATGTGGAAACAGTTAGGGGGGTAGTCAAGGAACCTGTGTTACTACTTCCAACCACATTGGGGGCTTCTGCCAAAGCTGTGGTCCATCCATCTCCACTAATCAATGCTGAACTACCGATGGGCAAATTCTGAGAAGCTGAGCTCAAACCAGGAGACGAGACTCTAGTCATCTCAGGAAGCACTTGCCTATCCTCAGTTCCAAGCGAGGGAAAATCTCTCACAAACACACCCTTGTGGATGCCACTTCCAACAGCAACACCAGAAAGCATAACATTGTCATTGTTATGGTTACTGTTAATACTGTCTCTAGCATCCACCCTGACCCTTCTGGGCAAAGGCTCACCCTGTTTCCTAGAGAACATAGAATTTGAACGGTGCAATGTTTCTATCTCAACCCTACCATTTAAGAGACTTTCTAAAGGTTCAGAAGCAGCACCGTCCCGTTGGTCCCCAAAATTCAACCTCACTTTATCCCTATCTCGATCCTTATCACGGTGATTCCTACTAAAGCTACTGTATGCATGCTTTGCGGAACCATTACTAGAACTCATCCGTGAATTCAATGAAGATGTCCGCTCCAAAAATGTTGAACGACGGGAATCAAAATCACTTATATTCCTAGAGTTTCTATGTCTCCCATGATGCCCTGAAGAAAAATGTAACATAACAAAAATCATTTAGACACTACATATTCCTGAAATGATATGCAAACACAATGATTATAAAAAGTGGGCATATGGAAGGTGTGTGTAACAATATACAAATCGAGCTGTAACATTGTAATTGAGTATAAATAAAAAGAGAAGTGCAATAGGTATTTAAAAGTTGCTGAAACGGTACCTGAGTGGGAAGAAGAGGAAGCAAAGTTGTGGGCTGAATTGCCACCACCAGTAACAGCGCTATTACTTCTCAGCCATTCTGGAACAAAAGTTGGTTCTCTACTTTCCATAAGGGATATTTAATATGATCATCAGAAACTAGAAACGGAGAAGGGGAAAAACACTTCTTCAAATCCTAACCCAGCAAAGTGATTCTCTTCTACACAAACTCTTAACACCATCCCTGGTCGTTTAAACCAGAAAAATCAGGGACTCTGAATATAACAGGTCATTCACCAAATGGAAAAGGGATTGTTTCTGATGATCATATTCAATATAACAGGTCGTTCACCAGAAAAACCAGAAAACAATGGCAATGCCAATTAGGAAGCTATATAATTATCTCTCTCTGTCCCTCCATTCTTCCATCTTTTATTAAAAGATAGATTTGCAGATTACTGATTCTGCAATCTCAAAAGACCCTCGTATTTCCCAATAAAATAAAATCCAGCTCCGTTTTCAAATCAACAACTTGGGAAAAACGAAGGAAAAAGACCTTTCCAAAATTAATAACGCCCGAATGCCAGTTAAATTTAGGAAGACAACATTGAATAACAACAAATTTAGGATAATATTAAAAACCCTAGATTAAATTTTGATTATAAGTTCCCGACTGCTAGGAATTGAACCCCATAGGGGCAACGAGAAGAACTGGTAAATTCTAACAAAATTTAAAAGAGGGCAGATGAAAGAGAATGAAGTGTATACCTAGCCGCCGCTACGATTCCAAGCTATCGCCTGAAAACGTAACCATTTTATAAAAATAATCGTCTCCCAATCCAAACAATGCGTTTTGTTCCGGGAGAAAAAAAAGGAATAATTACGACAATAAAAAAGAGCACAAGAAAGAAAACGAGTGAGAAAGTTTCAGTGAAAGAAGGGGGGAAACACCACGAAATTGAAAGCCAGAGACAAATAAAATAAGAAAATAAAGACTGATGAAGGAAAAATTTTAATAGAATATGGATTTTAGGGTTTTGTTGGTAGTCTGGGAATAGAGAAGAGAGCTTTTAAATTCTCTATTGCTTCTGTTGTTACTGCAGAATGAAAGTTAAGAAACCTGTGAAGAACAGCCCTTCTTGTAAACAAAAAAACAAAAGCTTTTTTATTTTATTTTGTGTTTTAAAAAATAAAAATTTGTTTTTATAATTAAATAATAATGTATTTACTATTGTAAAAGGTCGAAATTTTATTTATATTGATCTCTTTCTTCTTTTTTCTTGGTTCTGCTTAGATGGCTGTTTTCGTCTATAAAGCAACTTTCACATCTCTCCATCTTTATCTAATCCCTTCATTAATTACAAATTAATTAACTTTAAAATAACATTACTTCAATAAAATTTCTATTTAAATTAATATTTTAAGAAAATCAAGCGTGCATTCTTCACATATAATTTCTAAATTTAACGAACAAAACAAATGTAGTATGAATTAAGCGACATTAGTAATCTAAATGATATTTATTATGCTTAGAAGTTTCGAGTTTAAACATAACATTTACGTGAATGTTTAAATCTCACTTCAATTTAAGAATTTTAGGGTTTAGATTCCTAAATGAACACACTTTAAGGTTGTACTAATTCTTATTCATAAGATAAAACAAATGATACAGGATCAAACAAACTCATTCAGCTTTCCAATGGTATGCTTAATTTAAGGTTTACACATTCCATCTATCCTTGACAGAATAAAGTGTAAATGACTCATAATATAAACACAAGGATACATAAAACTTTCTATATACACAATTACCCAGCAGGGACGCGCAATTGAAGACATTACTTCAAGATATCAAGAGAAAAAGATAATCGGCACCATATCTTGATCATTAAACACAATATAGAGGAACTAGTACATGGCTAAGCTGCATTATACTAAGTGCAGTGCAGATAAAGCTACAAAAGGACTGATACACGGAACAGTTAAAATTCTGAAAGTATTTCAACACAAAGTATTGTAGGAAAAATGTTTGTCATACTAGGGGAACTCTCACCATATGCCTTTGAAGTTGCTCTTTGCGCTTCATGAAGTCGAGGCAGAACTCACAGAAGTACGACTTCAACGAATCATTATACTCTGGGGGGAAAGGGGGAGAAGTATCTTCCAAGTTCTATGGTTGCTATATTTTTAACCTTTGTGAATTCCTCATGCTCACGCAAGCTAGCAGCGTCTAACTCCTCATGGCCCTATTAGAAAACAACAGAGCAGACTATTACAGGTTTACAGAATTTCGAAAAAGCAACCGCATTTAGAACAATTTAAATGGACTTCCTATCACCAATTGAAAGTTTTACTTTGACTCACTACTTCTACATGTGTCTCGTCAGTCTTGCGTTTCTGGTGGCGCGTCATTTATAAGCTTGTGACCTGAAAACCTCATTGGCAAGTGGAAACAAAGTCTGAATAAGATACTAGATTGTACCTTTTTTGTATTGCAACAGTTGAAAATGTTGTTTATGAAACTGGATTTACTTTTTCCACCAAATCCAACATATTTTCTTTAGTTTATTCCTTCAAAACCTTTACCTTTATTCATATAAATCATGTGTCGTTTAAATGAGATTCCAAATTAAGAGAACGGACCAAACATTCGATACATAATTATTTTTTTTATATCTTTTTAAATATATATCAATAAGAAAGATTCTGAACGGGCCGTTTAAGCTTCCTTGAAATCATATGGCATTTATGTGTTTAGTATTTAAATTCAAGTTGTTGGTTCTGAATTGCTAAATAGAAGATATCAAAGAATGCCAAGTTTGATCTTTGGAGGGGTGCAAGTAACACGATTGAAAACCAAATGAAATGGTGGCGGGCAGCATAAGGTACTGGCCCAACTGACGACAATTAAAAAGTAAAAAATGGGTTTCTTGTGAAAAGGTTGTAAAATCATGTAATCGTTCAAGTTTAAGTTGGATCTTGTCAGGTCAGGTTAAATCGGAAATAGGTTGAGTTGGATCAATTTAATGATTTGATTCAGATCAGGTCGGGTCTAGGTCAAATCAATTTGGGTCATTTTCAGGTTTATTTGACATTAGATTCAGTTCGGATTCAGGCCAGATTAATTTCAATTCGGATCGATGTCAGTTCAGGTCAAAACAGTTCAAGTCCGAAGCAGTTAAATACCAGGTTAATTAAGGTTCGAATAGTCTTTAATCGATCTCGTTTAGACCGGGTCACATCATTAACAAACAAAATTTAAGTCGGATCTTACCGGATACAGACTGACTTCAAGTCAAGTCATTTTTGGGTTAATTATTTTTCGTCTTTCAATGTTTCATGAACGCAAGAATGTCGAATTATAATTTGTAATTGTATATGATTTAAAATAAATTGTAAAAAATATAAATAATTATGGGTCAATTTTGATAAAAAAAATATAATTTGATGTACCAAATTGAAAAAAAAACATGAAATTAGAAACAAAAATTTAAATAAATTCAACAAGCATGGATGAGGGATCAAATCGAATTAATTATAAAATGTGAAGTTGAAATTAATATAAAAATGGACTAAATTGCATATAAAAGGTTGGTGAACAAAAGTTTATAGAGTTTGAAATGAAATTTATTATGTGATTTATAGGATTTGAAGTAAATTACCAAAATATAAATAAGTATAGGTCAATTTCATATAAAAAAATTATTTTAAGGACTAAATTGAACAAATATAAAATTACAAATTTAAATTTAAATAAATTATACAACATGGATGAACAAATCAAAATAATTGTAAAATGTGAAGAAAAAATTATAAAATGAATTGAATTTTATTCATTTCAAAAGTTGAGAAAAAATGAAACAATTATAATATATATATGATAAATGTTATGATAATATGATCATGTATATATAATGTACATTAAACTTGTGTATACATTATATATATTAAGTATATATATGGGTTAGAATTCACTTGCATAATGTAAATTTTTTTAGCTTTACACAGATTTAGGATCGTTTGATGAGTGAAAATAAATGACTATGATTGATTCCTTATTTTTTTTTCCAGTGAATATCTTCTCATTTCCTACTGTTAATCACATCTATCTATTTTCATTCATCTAACGATTCTAAATCTGTGCAAAACTAAAATAGTTTTACATTGTGTAACAGGATCATATCCCTAATATATATAAAGTATAAATATAAATGTGTGTGTATATATGTCAAGGAATAATTGTCATTAGATCAAACCCTATCAATATTCAAATTGATTTGATTTTATTCATCAAGATTAGTGACATGACACCTAAAAAATATAGCCATTTAATGTATTTTACTTTTGTATCATGTCAGGCTTGTAATTTGGGATAATTTTTTTTTTTGTAATGGATTTTATTTATTGGATCCTAACATATGTAAATAAACTTATATATATATAATATAAATGAGTTTTTATTATTTTGGACTTGAATAAAAGTATACTATATTTATTTATAACATGAGTAATATATGTATATGGATATGGAATATGAAGATGGTATATGATATATACTAATATATAGTTTATATTAATGCCATTACTGGGATAAAATGAGTGATGACAAGAGCATAAATTTTAAAATAAAATGGTATAGTTGATTTTATTGTAATTTTAGTGTACAAAATTTTATTTATTTATTTATAATTTATTAGTTTTAATATTTGTTACGTTATTAAAATTTCTAATCTCAAATAAATTCATCTTATATATATATTTTAAAATTTTAAGTTAAATTATATTTATATTATTAATCAATTTTTACATAAAAATAAAATAGACTTATAAATATCTTAATTAATTTTATATAATCTAATAAAATCATGCTCAATAACTAAATTATATAATAAAATTAATTTAATGATTATAATTAAAATTTATAATATAAAGGTTACAATTAATATAGAAAGTAAATTTATTAATTTAGTTATCATAACTAACAGATTATTTTAAATTTCAAAAAATAATCATATTAATTTAATTATCAGAAGTTTATCATAAATTTAAAATCTCATAATTGCATCAATTTTAACTTATTACTAATAAGTCAAGTAAATATCAGATCAATTCAATAACAAGTTAATAACAAGTCAGGATCATAACATGTAGAGTAATATCAGTTATTTATCAGATTTATCTTGAGTTCGGGTTCATATTGGTCGGATGCATGTCAGGTTCAGTTAGCATATTATCGGCTCAATTCCGATTCAGGTCGTTCTCAAAAAAGGGTATAGGATGGATTTAGATCCATAATTTCCAGGTCCACATCAAGTTAAGGTCAAAGCCAGTTCAAACTCGAATCGGTTTCGGATCATCTCCACTCAAGTCACAAACATTTTTAATTTAAGTTCATTTTACAGGTTGGGTCAGTTTTTACAACCCTACTAAATCGGTTGATAGTTGTGAGACAAATTACAAATATTTCTTCTTTCCACATTTCAAATAATTGGAAAATAATGTTTTTGTTGCCTTGTCCTAACGGGAACATATTAAATTACTATTTCTTATGCATTATTATTTTTTAAATATAAGGTTATCAACAACTTGCAATAGTATAGAGCATGATGCCAATTTGTATCAGTTTACAGATAACTAAAAGATCCCACAAGATATAACCAAAGCACTGAATGATTGGCTTGCACATTTCATTAACATGTAAATTGAATAATAATAATAAATAGGGTAAACTACTTCAAATACCAAAGCACAGACGTTTATGTTTCGCTGCAATTATGTCATCTCGTCGTTAATCCGTTAACGGGACGATGACATGCATTTCAATGCCATGACGGTGATGACATGGATTGTTTTATTAAAGTCTTTTAATCCACGTAGGATCGTTGTTGGCATTAACAATACTTTGTTTGATATAAAATCCTAATTTATAACCCTAACCCTAAATCACTTCATTTGCTTCATTATATCTTCTCATCAACAGCAGAAGAAATAGGAATAAGAAGTTCGTCGGTGGAAGAAGCAAAATAATAGAGCAATCCCTTGCATATCCAGTCTGTGGGTATGAATATCCGGCTCAACTGAGGACATCGTGGTCCAATGATAAACCCGAGAGAAGTTTTTTTTACTATAAAA